AAAGCAGAGCTGTTGGTGCGGTCCCTGCCCCTTCGTAGAGGGTTTGCTGGCTGACAGGTTCCAGTGGCTGCTATGGGGCTTAGTTCTTTCTCTGTCTTTCTCAGGGTTTGTGTCTGTTACTGAAAATATGTGGATGTGGTCAAGTAAGTTCAGAGTTTTTCTACCAACACTGGGTTGTAATAGCTTCAAAAGCACAGTAAAGTTTTTCATGAGTAACAACTCCTAGTTGGATAGCTTTTGTTGCTGGCTAACAAGGTGTTTCATTTCACTGTAGAGTGTCCTACCTGCTGCACAGGATGAAAAACCATGTCCATCTACAGCTAACCTCTCACGGCAGCAGCAGCAGCAGAGAAACAAAACCTATATTTCATGGCCCTCATCAAGTAAGGCTGGAAGCAAGCTTGTCAGTTCTGAGCTGTAATTTATGGCTTCTACAAAAAGTGTAAACCTGCCTTTTTTCTTGCTTTCTCTACAGGTGGCAGTGATGTGGGAGGAGCCATGCCTTCCCGAAGTATGTCTGACCCTGACCAGGAGTTTGACAAAGAGGTAAAGTAGCTTTTATTAAATGGAGACTGATGATATCCTGTTGCCATAGATTGTTTTCTTTTTCCAATAGATTACATTTCTGAGGAAATATTTCATAAAGACCTTGTTATTTATGGAGATGTTTTCCTTCCACAAATGTTTTCTCCAGCCTGTAATATGTGATTGCAAGTTAGACACGCCAGCGCTAAAGCAAAGCTGTGCAAAGATCTTTTTATGGTGATATTTTAAGAAGTATTATGTCTTGGATTAAGCTTTGTAGACAAGGGAAATTTGACTAATTGATGAAATGTCCTCAAAGCTCCTAAAAATGTTCTCTAGGCTATTAGCATGGAATAGCAAAGTAATACGACTAGTTAAGTAATTTTCTGTGCTGCCTTAAGGAAGACATTTTGTCATGTAACTTGAGAAGGAATCGTTTTAAAATACGTGAAACTGCTTTTAGCAAGAGTAAAAGTATGTGCCAGTAGTCGCCAAACTGAAAATGTCCTGGCTGTACAAAACTGGTGTCCCTGCATCTAAGGAGAGAAGATGGATGATTTTTGTTTCCTTGATTTATCATGGGTGTAGCTTCTTCCAAGCTTTGCTCAAGCACTGCCTGGGCAAGGAAAGTTTTAGGAATTATTGTTGGGAGGCAAACTCCTAGATCAAGATCTTTGCATCTTTTTAGCGCTTTTTGGTACCCAACTACAGGCCGGTGTGACATTCTGGATTTTGAAGGGTGTTTTCCTGAAGCCAGACCTTTGCAGGATGTCTCAATACACCCCAAGTCAAAGCGTTTGTTCAGATTTCTGATCACAGCCGTGCTCTGACTTCCTTTCTCACGTTGAGTAAGCCATTAAAAGCAGGTGGAAATGGGGATCTCTAAACACAGGTATTTTTGAAACTGTTTTGATTTTCAAAGGTGCTGATGACGGCCTATGTCAGTTGGCTTAGTTGTTCTGCAGCATCCTTCCCAAATTCCGTTACATTCCATGCTCTAATGATAAGTGCTGTTTGTAGGCACAAGTAGTGACGGATTCTAAGGTTTTTACATTTTCTTTTTTGGTAGATCTTACAATTTCTGAAATTAAAAAAAAATTGTAATTTGAAACTTGAAAAAGGAGACTCTAATACCACCTCTTGGCTTTATACTGTTTTTCCCATAGCTTTTGGCTTTATCACAGCATGAACTGGATCGTGTTAGGATAATCTTGTTATAGATGATCTTGTTATTGTTTGAGCCGTGCAAAACCTCGTGAACAGCATTCTTAAAGGATATTACCTTTCAATCTATTTGCTAAATATACATTCCTTTTCTTGAAAATAACTTGCTGCAATGGTGCCAGTTTTTCCTGTGCAGTATTTCTTTAGCTGTGAATATGTGCAGTGCTCAGAGTTGTAACTCACCGAAATAGCGGGAAACTTGCAGCCGTCCTGTTGAAGTGAGACCAGCCTGTGAAGGCAAATATCCAACAACCGGTCTAACACTGGGGAAATAACTGTGGATAGACTGTCTTTATTAGATATTGACATAGGGTGTCTCCAGTAAGTATATTCTGCTTCCAGACCTCCAGCCTGATACTTGGCAGCCTTCACTCTTTTCACGTGCTTGTCACTGTTGCTGTTTTGTAAACAGTTCATACGCTTGTTTCCTTCCTTCTCACCAAACTGAAGATGATTTGACCATAATTGTTTACATGTTTGTATGGGCAGATAAATCTACTCCTGGCCTATAAAAAATTGCTTTAAAAACACAGGCTGGTAAATCCAGAACAATGGTGGACAGATATGTGTGTTCCTTCAGGAAAGCTTTGCAGTGGTTAAAGGAGAGGAGCCCAGGATTTAGCAATTTCCACGTACTTTGCCATAATTCCTGTTACGTCAGAAGGTCACCTTCAGGACTGCACTACAGCCTATTGATGATAATGGAAGTATTTGCATGGATGTTTTAGCTATAAAATGAATCTAATGCACACTGCTTCATAGGTGTTGCTCACCCTAATTTTTGAGTGCCTCTGAAAGCTTTCAAGTGTGAGGAGTTGATTTTAAGTAAGTGTATTTCATTATTTTTTTTTTAATATTTCTCATTAACAGCCTGATTCAGACTCCACCAAACACTCTACTCCATCTAACAGCTCAAATCCAAGTGGTCCCCCGAGTCCCAACTCTCCTCATAGGAATCAGCTTACGCTAGACGGACTGGATCAGTCAACCTGTGATGCATAATACTACCGCTCTCACCCTTCTGGCTTCGGTCATCCACTACTCCGTGGAGTATTCAAGAGCAGGGCAAAGCTGACTCAGATGCTAGTGCCAAGACTGACACTGAATCTCTAGTGTTGTACAAGAATAATTATATATCCAGATTGTAGATACAAACTATTGAAGAAAATTCTTTACTAAATAGTGATTGAGCTTTTTATGCAGAATTGTTCACTGCTCAGTTACGGTTCTGCACAGCTGTGACACAGTTTTATTGCATAGGAGCATTTAAGGCCACCAGTAAATAGTCTTATTCTTATGCTGAAAAAGAAATAGAGAGAGATACTGATAATGTTGCTACAATATCAGGAATATTATTTTTCTATAGAATGATGTAATGTCTCATTAGCAGGAAATCCTTTTAGACACAATTTGGACCTCTAAATAGGAAATGTGAGCAGGTCTAGTTACATCCTCAGATGGATACACTTTTCCCTTTTTCCCATAACTATTTGTTTCCTAAATCTTAAGGAGAATGCTAGGAAGCTGTAGGTTATTGCCAACATCAATAGAATCACCAGGAAGTCCAGTAAAAGTTGGTTATAGTTTTGTGGCCTTTTAATTCATTTAGCCATTACGTATTCAGCTGCATAAATGTCTTTCTATCTTTCTACCAACTTTCTAGTCTTGTACATAGGACTACTGCCAGTTACCTTTTACCCATACTCTGCTTTTTAGTCCTCATCAATCAGCCATTAGTCTGGGCTTTTAAAATACTGTTAATTACTGCTGTGAAAAAAAATTTTACTCCTAGTTCCTGCCTATCTCCTCCTGAGAAGTTGTTTCTCCTGGGTTTTTTGGTGTAAGGACACACTACATTGTTGAGCTAGTAAGCCTTCTCGTGGACGCATTGCCCTCGAAATCTGCTTGATCTAAGAGACTCTGTCGCACTAAAACATCGGTCTGTTTTATCAGTTACCAAAGTGGAACGTGAAGGATGTGTAACTGGGGGTGCTGCTTTTCTCATTAATTGTATCCTCACCTGCATGAAGACCCCATGATTATTAATCAAGTATTGATCATGTAGAAAAATGCACAACACACTCCTGTATATTTTGCTATGGCCCACGTGCAGTGGTGATGTTTTGCGTGTATATTTAATCTCATGCTTCCATGTATTATACATTTAGTAATCAAAGATTTGTGACCATGTCTCATTAAAAGCTTGTAATTAATTCAGTGGCTGGCATATCCAGTTTGTCATTGTCACACTAGTGTGCCTTCTGTGCCAATTTTATGACAGTTGGATGTCACTTATTTAAAATTTGGTTTAAATGGGCTAATGATATACCAATGGCTAATGTTCTTTTCTGAAACACTGTATAGGACGTGCACTTATCTTTAGTTTAAACTGAGTGTTCTAGTCAACATTTAATCCTGTTACGTTAAGTGTTCGACAGTACTTGCTCTTTTTCTCAGATTCTTGATAAAGGGGCTCAGTTAGAGCTGGACACTACTGCTTTGGGGGTTTTCTGGTTTTTACTTTTTTAATGTAAGTCTAAGTCTTTGTAATTATTGAATTGTGAGAACATTTTTGAACAATTTACCTGTCAATAAAGCAGAAGAGGGAGGTTTTAAAGCTCATAGTCGTCTGTCTTGACATGTGAAAACAGTCTACCACTGACACTTGCCTTAGTTTCATGGTAAATTCACTTTGTTCACACGGATGTTTTACATAAACTGAAATATACTTTGAAGCTCCGTCCCTGAATGCTACGAGAAAGGTGTGTGTTTCTGCACGTAAATGCATGTTCAGGAGCAATGGAAGTCCTTTTGGTGGAATACAGTGTTGAAATTTTGTGCCCTCGGTTTGCGTTAGAGTTGTCATTTCATTGAGTCGCTGACCCTATTAATTCATTTTGAAATTATTTCTATGGTTATTTCCTTATGGCCGAAGCAGAGTAAGGAGGCTGCAGGACCCATTCAGGCATCTAAAGTGTGATAAAATAAAGACTCCTGACTTCTTGTCAAAGCAGTAGTCCCAAAGAAACGCTTAGGAACATTTCAAGGACTGGTGTGCAAATGATGCAGCCCCTAATACAGGGGTGGTTTTTTAAAGCTCCCCTCATGCTGCACTATGTGAGCACTGCAGAGCTCACTAGTTAGAACAGCACCAACGTCTTCCCCAGCGTGTCCTGGGTAAGGTAAGCATCCTGCATCCCTTACGGAGTGCCCAAGCACTCCTGGGTTACTAATTGATTTGTCTCGCCCATCTTACTCCAAGTTATCTTAATGGGGAAGGCCTAGATTGATATTTTGGCCCCTGCTGTTCCTTGCTTGACCAAACCTACCTGGGCCAAGGCCAGCCGGCTGGGTCGGCTCGGCTTGCGAAAGTGCACCCGCACTCTGCCCTGGGGATGGGGGTGATGGCTGACGGGAGGTTTCAGGGCTGGGTGCCGGAAGCCTTCTCACAAGTAGTCGTGCTAATCAGCCTTTGACTTCTAAAAAACGTTTCTACTGCTCTTGAGCTGATTTTTCTCTGCACAATGAGGACTTTGGATGACAACAAAGTCTTTAATTATGGGGGTATTAAATCATAGCACTCAGCAGTGCCAAGGCTTGGTTATAATTTAAGCAGAGAACGTTTCTAGAAAAATAAATTAATTGCTCAGTATGAATACATTATTTTTTTTTTTTTTTCCCCTCAAGTCTGGTGGAGCAGAATTCTTCCCCAAGTCCTCCACCACAGCCCTGTGCAAAACTATTCCCTTAAGGCCTCTGATGCTGGTTACCTAAAAAGTCCTCCTAAGCCCTCAGGGGAACTTTCGGAAATGCGGAAATTCAAGACTCGATGTGAAATGTTCCTCTGACGGTGTGCTTTCTTCTCCCTGATGGCTACCAGTCTAGTATTGCAAGTAAGGAATTGAGTTATGCAAGGAATGAGGATAATTTGGTCTCTGCCTGCTCCTCTGCCCGCTCTGTTTTCACAGAGGCATTACATCAGGTCGCGAAGCCGGGGCGATGGGCAAACCGCTCATCAGAACATGCTGGTCACTTCCAGCACAGGTCTTTGTCCCGAAAGGCTGTGTATTTTGGAATATGTCCTGGTGTCACTTGCTACCCGAGAACTTAAACCCATCTGCCAATGCCTCCGTCTGCAGCACGGATGTGCTGAGAACAGTTTCCTAAGTGGGTGCAGTCTGGGGTGGGGGCGCATGCATAAACACTCGCTTTACATTTGCAGGGTAAGTGCTTAATGCAGCGAGGGCACAGAGAGGGGACTTTAGCGTGGAAATGCTGAACGTCCAGACACGCTCACTGTTCTCCACAGCATCCTTGGGAGGAAGCAGATGCATAAAAATCTGAAGGGCTGGCACTGGTAGCCTAAAGCACTGCGAAGCAGGGAAGCGCTGGAGGGAAGAGATGGTTGTGGGAACTGAACTGCACCCTTAGGACAGTTAAGCAAAGTAACAGCCAAAGGAACGTGTCACATCATGCCCAATCTTCTGTTGCTGCTGAGTTTAGCCTATTTTAAAAGGAAAAGGTAAAAGAGATGGCTTTCTCTCATGCCGAGCTACTGGAGCATCTCGTGTTCCAGTTTGCACCCTGCCTGCTCTGCGAAGCAGCTCCAGCAGGCAGGGGTGAGGAGGACGTACCAGAAGGTACCGTTCACCTGCCCAGCCCTCGCCTTCCGTTGTGGTGGCAGCAAGTCTGGACCGCCTTCTCCTATCTGCTTGCACCCCTGTAAATGTGGCTCCCCTCTCTGTTTTCCCTTACATCCCTCCTCAGCAGCCTTGGGCTCATCGCAGCACATGGGGCAAGAGCTGCAGCTGCTGCCGCCCCGCGACCTTGGGCTCGCTGCTGGCAGGGCAGTGCCGCAGCGTGGGGTCAGAGGGGCTCTGGTTCAGGGGAAGGGGTGCCATGGGCACAGGTACCGCATCAGGGAGGCAGGAGGGAAGGCGCAGTGCTTGGAAAGAGCCAGCAGGATCTCGGCGCTCCCTTGCAAAGCCCTCCTAAACATGTTTCTGGGGATGTGGGGTGATGATGAGACCGGACATCAGCTGCACACCTCTTGTGGGATGCCAGGGAAAGCCAAACATCAGCAGAGCGTGTCTCAGTGGCGAATGATGCTCAGACTAGTGTTGCTGGTGGGGTTAGCTGAGGACAGGAGCAGAAGACAGCAGGACGTGCTCAGCAAGCAAGAGCTGCAGTGCTGCGCTCCAGCCAGAGGAGGAACATGAACTCAAGAATCAGCCGGTTCCCCCTTCTTGCAGCAAATATTTTCCCTGCTCCCCAATAAGCTGCAGCATTTTTTTGTCACCTGACTGCACAGGTTTGTGCAGCTTTACTGGTTGTTTTCTTATAGATAAAATCCTCAGATTTTTTGCAGCATCGTCTGCTTTCCAGTTTCTTACGCAGTCCCTGCTCTGCGATCCCATGAGGAAGAGCAGTGCAGAGCCCTGCGTGCTGATGGAGATGGCCACTGCTTTGCTGCCATCCTGCAGTGCCTTGGCCAGCTCTTGCCAAATCCCCTCCCTTTCACTGCTGCTACCTCCTGCTGAAAAAAGAAAAAAAAAATGCATTGGGCCAAGTCTGTTTGTAGGCTCGGTAGTATTTTGAGCACTGCTGCCTGCTGCACTGCCTGAATCCAGATTTGCACAACTTCTGTGAGAAGCTGTAACGCATGGAGGGACGGCACAATGATACGAGTTGGTGTCCCTCGGTAGCATGCAGGTTGCTTTTTCTTTTAAGGCTCCAGGAAGCAATGACTCCTGAGATCCTGCCATTAACACTAATGCATTTTGCATTAGTCTGTCACAGCGGGGGACCCTTGACTCTCAGGACCAAGAGCAAAACAAAGCCATCAGGTGCCCAGCCATGCCGTGCACAGCCTCGCCCACATAAACCGCCTGTCTAATGCGCTGCTTACCAAAGATGTCTGCGAATTAAATTCCTTATTTAGACAAGATCCCAGGAGAGACCCTTACGTACTGAAACCCATCGTGTTGCCCTGCCTGCACCACGGGCTGTCTGTGTGCACCGGTGCGCAGGGTGGTGATCACACAGCTGGTTTTCCAGCAGCTGTTGGCCCCGGCATCACAAACTGACTCTGGTGCTTCAGTTTTTCTGCAGAGCTCCCCCCTCCCTGCTACGCTTTCTATATGACCGAGTGAACGTGGCTCCTGAAGGAAAAGTACAGAATGTGCTCTGCTAGTGTGCTGACAAAAATTGATCTCTACTTTAATTAAAGCCTCTATTGTGAGTGACCTCGAGCTGCTAATGCATTTTAAAAATGAAGCCTCACCAGCAGCAGATCCATACGCCCCAATACGGAGGTGTTACCGGGCAGTTATCCGTGCTGCAGGGCGGCCTGCCTCCCTCTGTGCCGGCTGTGCAGTCGGCTGCATGTCCCCGGAGACCATCCCACAGCACGGGTACGCGCCTGCCCACGGCTCACGCTGAAATCCCCACGTGCCCAG